AGATGACCACATCTGCATGAAGTATTCAAAAATGTTGGTGTACCATGGGTTTATTCTTTAATAAAGGCTAAATATTCCACATTTACCACTTCCCCTTATCTACAAGGTTTGTTATCCTAGACAAGAAATCTATTAGGTTGGTTTGACATGATTTGTTCTTGACAAATCCATGCTGTTACTTATCACTTTATTATCTCTCAGATGTTTGCAGACAGATTCCTTAATTATTTGCTCCATTATCTTTTCTGGCACAGAAGTTAAAATAAAAATAAAACGTATCTAAAATGTATTCACAGTTACATACATGCTCACACCTGGCTTCAAGTTTATGATCAGCCTCATCATCTGTTCTTATTAGTTAATAAAAAAACTATTATTTCAACATTTTCTCATTTACATACAATATTTTTATAAGTTTACTGCATACTGTTTAGAATGGTATAGTACAGGTTTGACAAGGCAGATGCATAAGAAATACTCTGTAGCCTTGTGCTAAGAGCACTCATCCAGCAGGTGGATGACCCAGGTTCCCATCCCTCTACTACAATGATTCTTCATTTGTCCAAAACAGAATAGTTTTCACAGCAGAGACTGAGGGCACTGTCTCCCCCGAGTCAGAACATCCCATAGCCCAGTAGTTATGGTACTCTCCCAAAATGTAGCATCTCCCTTCTTTCTCTCTGTCTCTGAGGCAGAGCAGGGAAATTAAGTGAGAAGTCTTCACATCCCAGATAAGTACCCTAACCACCAGACTAAAAGTTATGAGAAAGGTCTTCTTCCTCCATGGCTTACTCCAAGAAACACCTTAGGCACCTGACTTTGGGTTCACAGCTGAGAATCCTAAATAGAGATTGGCCAATGCATTGAGCCCAGAATTAGGGCATGTCTATACAGGGGAGTTATTTCAAAACAACAAGGAGAGCATCCACACTACCAAGCCTGTTATTTCGAAATAACGGGCTTGCTATTTTGAAATAACTCCTGCTTGTGAAGAGGAATAACCTTATTTTGCAATAGTTATTTCATGAGTTATTATTTCAAAATAACTTATTTTGAAATAACCTGGTAGTGTAGACATAGCCAGAGGGATCTAACACTCTGAGACTGTGGGGCCAACAACAAAACTCTTCCCTTAGCATTTCCTATTGTGTATCTTAAGCAGGGCTCCCCCTAGCACAATGGTGAGCAACCTGTGAACCGCAGGTCACACTTAGTTCATCAGGGCACACCACTGGCAGGCAACCAGACAGGTTGCTTACATTGCATTCACAAGTACAGCCACCTGCAGCTTTCATTGGTCACTGTTCATCATTCCCAGCCAATGGGTGCTGCAGGAAGCAGCACAGGTCACAGAGACTTGCTGGTCACTTCCTGCAGCTTTCATTGGCTGGGAATGGTAAATTGCTTCCAATGGGAGCTGAGGCGGCCATACCTAAAGACGCATGGTAAACAACCTGTCTGGTGGCCCACCAGCAGCTTATCCTGATGAACTGCATGCAGCCTGCGAATTGCAGATTGCCCAAACTGACCTATCATTTGGGCTTTTCTGAATCCCATTCATGGGTAATAATTTCCCTTTGTTCATTCTGTAGGAACCCTAACTCAGGCTTTGTGAATATTATTGATTTTAAAGGGGCCTGAAAGTTAGGTGTGGCAACACTAAGCATTGCTTTGCCTAAATCTCTTCATGCTAGCAGCTGGGAAAGCAAGTGGCATAGGAGTCAAGCAGTGTTCCCTGTAAGCTGAGCACCTAGGTGGCCATCCAGAAAAGAGTAAAATGCCACCCAGTTGATGAGCATCCACAGCCAGCAGTATGTGTTTCTACTGGCGGTGCACATTCACACATGCTTTGGTGCATGTAACAAAAGTTATTTGTCACATGTATGGAAAAAATTAGAGGGAACATTGGAGTCAAATCATTGTAGCAATATTACCCCATTTGAGGATTTATACACAGTTGTTATTATACACCGTTGGTTTCTTAGTTGGTTTATATGACTGGCTCCCTACAAAAGCAAATTGATCAGACTGGAAGATCCAGTTTTCTTTTTCTCTGGTTCATTAAATATCCCTCAGAAAACTCTCCTCCTTTGAAATGATACAATATAGCAGCACGTCACTTTTTAGAAGCCTGAAATGTTTTTTTCTACTCTATTCCTTCCCAGAAGGTTGAATTATATTTCCAGCTCTGTTGCTCCCAGAAACATGAATGATTAAAGTTTCCTATTTCAATGGGAGAAGACACACACCAATATTAATTAATCCTGTCACTTTCCAAACCTAGATTCTGCCATGTCTCAGGGTCAGGATGTACTTGTAAAGCTATTCAAAAATGTTTCCCTTTCACAGGTGAGGGGACAGACCTTTGGTAAATGGAGAATCTTTTCTTTCCCATGCCTGGTGTTCTGGTCGTAAGAAGTTCTCATTTTCCCATTAGCTTCTTTACCTCAGATGGAAAGTATTGCAGCAGCCTGGCCTCCTCTATTTTTAAGTGTCACCACCCTGGCCTTGGCAATCTCATTTTGTGAGTAACCATACTATGTGCTACAGACCCCTTGAACATTGGAACTAAGATGGTGCAATCATAGAATCATATGGCTGGAAGAGACCTCAGGAGGTCACAAAATCCAACCCCCTGCCCAAAGGAGGACCAATCCCAAATAAGTCATTCCAGCCAGGGCTTTGTCAAGCTGGGACTTAAAAACCTCTAAGGATGGAGATTCTACCACCTCCCTAGGGAACCTATACCAGTGCTTTACCACCCTCCTAGTAAAATAGTTTTTCCTAATATCCAACCTAGACCTCTCCCACTGTAACTTGAGACCATTGCTCCTTGTTACATCCTCTGTCACTATTGAGAACAGCCTCTCATCCTCTTTAGAACATCATTTTGGGTAGTTAAAGGTTGCCATCAAAACTCCACTCACTCTTCTCTTCTATAGATTAAGTAAGCCCAAATCCCTCAGCTTCATAAGGCAGGAGTGGGCAAAAGCCTCTCAGTGGGCTAGATCTGGTCTGCCTTGGGCTTTGATCTGGCCTGTGAGGCAATTATAGGCACTGCCCCCTAATTACAGGGCCCAAGGAGGAGGGGAGCAAGGAGCCGCACTGCCATCAAAACTCCACTCACTCTTCTCTTCTATAGATTAAGTAAGCCCAAATCCCTCAGCTTCATAAGGCAGGAGTGGGCAAAAGCCTCTCAGTGGGCTAGATCTGGTCTGCCTTGGGCTTTGATCTGGCCTGTGAGGCAATTATAGGCACTGCCCCCTAATTACAGGGCCCAAGGAGGAGGGGAGCAAGGAGCCGCACCGCAGCATCTCTGGGGCAGCCTGTGGCCGCTGGCCCCGGAGGCCGGACCCACGCCGGGG